CAGAAATTCCTTTGTAAAACTTCAAATTTTATACAACTGAACTAATTTATTAGTATCATAATTTTGTTGTTTTTTCTTCTTTAAAAAAAAAAAAAAAAAAAAAAAAAAAAAAAAACTCGTTCCAATATGCACCGTGAGAAGTTCTTATTTTCTCTGTCCCATTTTCATGAAATTGTTAATACGAAGTGGCGTATGGTGCACCATAAATCTAATTTATTTTATATATTATCCAAACGTCGTTATTATAGTGATAAAGATGACGCGTTTACTGGAATAATCTTTTGTGTATAGGCAGAAGATTGAGAATTACGATAGAATAATATTTAATAAGAATCAAGAATGGGAGTTAGATTTGCACCTTTCAAAACGAGTGACCAGCTAGACCGAAAACGGGATAAAAAAGATTTATTTATATAGCCCGATAACCACCAATATTCCGACAAAATTGTTGTGCATGATTGAGCTGATATGGATGGTAAGCCATCCTCATCACCGGCATAAATAGGTACCAAGCACGTGATTCATCAACTTTCGCAAAATAACTCTGTCATTTGTGATCATCAACAAATTGTACTAGTCCTTTGCCCCATCATCAACACTCTACATTCACTCTTTACTCATATCACTATGCTACTAACTCACAAATCAACAAGTGTGTGGATTAACTGGTTGGTACGAGAGATCATGGAGATCTAACTTAGTTGATTCAACAGATGCATGTGTGAATACCATAAACTCCTTCACATTGAATTCAATGTTCACTGATGAAAAAAAAAAAACTGGTATGAGATTATTCTGGTTTAATAAGTGGTCTTAAATTTAAGTCTTGAGTATGTAATTGCGATAAATACCTTAAATGAGAGTTTGATTGTTCATAATAGTCTTAGAGTTTGTTTGAATATAAATATAGAAATGTTTTTTTAGAGTTTTCTTCTGAAAAATAATATTTATTTTCAGTATAGAAATTTTTAAGGATATTTCTAATTTGTATCTAAACAAGCTCTTACTCTTACTCAACTCGAGTAGAGTCGTCTCGAGTAAAAAATACTTGTAATTGGTACCAAAATAATGATAACTCACAAAGGAAAAAAGAGCTAGGAAATAATTTGGTCTTTCCATTTCTATGTAAAAAGGGGGTTGCACAAAAAAAAAAAGTATTGCATGCGGTGTATGCAAGGCAGACCTAATTTTCTCTTATGGTCTAGTTTTTGAGGCACGAATTTATAATTGGATGTGCATGGAACATGCCTAAGAGAACTAGTTTTATGGAGAGTGAGGAAGATATATTTGAGGCATATGATCAATATTGGGAATATTGCATTTTGATTTACTCATAACTCGTATATATGTGAAACGGAACTGTTTTTATTTTTATTTTTTTTCATATCTATTATGACATAAATGTTACATCATTTACACATGTGATTACACTACTGTAATTTGTGCTTCACCTGTATGAAAATGCTTGGAAGATTGCTGTTACACGGGCAAAATAATGATCAGACCCATTAGGTTTCTGAGCAGAACGTGGTTGTGTCGTTAGCTATAGTGACAGTGCATGAGACAGCCCACAAATACTATTGATTATTTTTCTAAGAAATCAAAGTGTACCTTTTGGTTACATCTGAATGACTCAAAGGCATCAAGAATCGTCGTTGGCATGGCCATGGTGGGTAAAAAAGTGCATCTCCAATTGTAGAGGAATGACATGACTAAGTGTCATTTAGAACCGAGCAACTTAATTGTGGTACAAATCAAACAAACATAATTGGAAATTTGAGACACAAATCAGTTGGAGGAATTATCGTTATCGAATACAAAAACTGCTCTTAGTGACATGTGCAAACAATGTTACATCTTAATTAATTAATCTTTTCTAAACCACATAGTACAGTGTATATAATTGCGGTGTTGGATATTGTTTCATCATTTTGTTAGGTATGTTGGTTGTTGAAATGTAATTGTACTATGCCATTGCATTGCGGGGTCATATTATTTCCATTGTTTGTTCCCTTTAAAGTTAACTTGGGCCTTTTGGCCACATGGGGTGACACGTGCCTTGCTGCAATTTTCTCTCTCATGGATGTTAAGTTTTGTATAATTATTATCATTTTCTAAGTCAAGTTGCAGATTTTCTAGCTAGCTAGGAAGTAGTGGAGAAATGATTTTATTTTATATAGCCAATTTTATTTAGAAAGTAGGCGATATTTTTTTTAATTATTAACCACAATGTTGTCGAAGAGCAATGACACAACAATTCTTCGTGACGTGAACCTTTATGACTTTATGTAAAAGGCAGATCTTATAGTGTTTTGAGGTTTACAAATCAAAATTCTAAGGACCACATATATGTGTGTATTGGTTTAATTATATATATACGCACGCCGTGAAGAATTAGCTTGGGAAATGTTAGAAATAAGATGATCGATTGTTAATTAATTAATTAACTATCATTAACCTATTTTAAATTTGGTTTGGAAGAAAAAAAAAAGTTAGTTTAACAAAAAAATTAACTTGAAGCTTTTACTAATAAACCATGCCAAGATAGTGGAAGTTGAACTCCGGATTCCCTAATAATCTTCTTGGGTCAATCCAATTTTAGCTAATAATGCATTGGTTATGTTACTAAGAACAAGGGCCATAAAGAAACCACAAAACTTGAGAATTAATCCTTTCATTACATGCATATTTGATTCAGTTTATTTTAATCAATTTCTTGATAAAAACAACATGGGCTTCGATTGACTCGTATAATATAATGCATGTCAAATGATTCAGGATACATATAACATATGGTGCTTTTGAAAAAAGAAAAAAAAAGTGTTAACTACAATGATGATGATGATAAGTAGCAACATTAACAAGATGACGTAATTCACATACATGATTTCTTTTTAGCAAGGTAAACCATGGTATTTCCTAGAATCAAAAAATGGAAAAGTGGTAGAATGATAGAAAAGCAAAGTGGGTAATGAAAATGGTAGTATTGAGTTAACCCTAGAAGATGAAGAAGGAGGAGGGGCAAAAGAGGAAGAAGAAAAGAGCAATGATGAGTTGAATGACATGGGATCCACTTGATTATCTTTTATTTGGCTTAGTTTATTTTTGACTTAGGAGTTTGGGACCCATTCCGGCCACCACAGTCTTTATGGATTGAATGATAAAGAGCACCGCACGTGGAGTCTGAATCAAGAGACTGTCCACTGTCCAACCACAATCAAATGACACCCTGTATTTTACTTCTAATTTCAAAATTCAATAAAACCCTTCTTTATTCCCAAAACAAACCTTCACCAAGTTCATCTATTTCCTACTTGATCAATATTCTTCCTGTTTATTTGATTCTTCATCAGTTTCATATAGCTAGGATCAGTCAACAATTGCTAACTTTATATATCTCTATTTGAAAAGCACAAACTTTATAAAATACCACATGTATAATTTTTAATGATGATAAATTTTAATCTAAGCGTTATTTTAGATTTTTTTGTTGTTGATAAAATAGCATAATTTTTAAGCTTAGTATAAGATTTTAAATCTTCATAAAGTGAATTAAGTTTATAAAATTATATATTTGATAATTAATTATATCATTTTATTTAATGTATTATATATTATTTGAAATATAAATAAATATTTTTATTAGATTATAAATTCATCTATAAATGTTTAAATCATTAAAGTTTAATATATATAATCACCGCAATAATCAATGACGGAACTTGGATAAAAAAATTTAAGGGTGTCAAATTAATCTTTTTATGTATAAATAAATTTTTTTATTAATTAAAAAATTAACAGAATTCTTCATTTTTTTTACTTAAAATAAACATACATGATAATAAAATAATCATACAAATATAATATTATATATATATAAGTTTTACGAAAAATTTGAGAGAATCGTGGCTCCCCCAATCACCAAGAAGATCCGTCTCTGACAATAATGTCATATAATTTAATTATTAAATTGATAGGTTACCCAAAAAATTATTAAATTGATAAAAAAAAAGTTTAATTACTCTTTTAGTCTTTATAATTTCATAAATTTTACCTTGTATTTATGATAAAAAAAATATTTTATTTTAATTTTTATATTTTTTTATCCCTTTTAATTTTTGTCGTCTATTTTTATAATAATTAAAGATAAATTTATATGAATATATGGATTAAAAAACATAAAAATTTGTATATATAAGAATCAAAATAAAATACTTTTGATTATATAGATTAAAAGATAAAGTTCACGAATAAAAAAATAAACCTGGATAAAATTTACTTTTCATGAGAAAAAAATTTATAGGAAAATTTTTATTATAAAAATATAATTCTGGAGTATTTCAACATGATACTTCTAAGAAGAAAACCAGTATAAACTAATAGCATTTATAAAGTTTGATTTTTAATATCAATTAATCACTTTCTAGTAAATTTTAAGAATTTTAACATGCTGGACAAAACTAATTTTTTAGTTAATGTTTTCATTTTTATATTAGTTTTTTCGGTGGTTAATTTTTATATTAGTTTTTGTTTTCCTTTTTATAATATAGAAGACTTGTCTTTCAGAATTAAGTTTTATTATTTTGACTGATATTATAGGTGTAATTTTTGTTAAACCTTAATTTGTTTTGTATTTTTTTCTCAATAATGAAGAAAAATATTTAGTTTTCCAGTCTAAAAAAAAGTTTATATATTAGTTTACTAACATAACAATAAAATGAGAAATAATGATTTAAACGTTTAAAAAAAACTAAACGCGATATATGAAATGCTGTTATACACAAGTGTTATGATATACTTTCAATTTGACATTTATTGTACAGCAAGTTGCAGAAGGAGTCTACCATGAGAAAAGTGAATATAAAATAAAATAAAAATAGACACATTGATTTCAAGACTGTTGAAAATAAGAAGAGTCATAAAACGAGTGAAGACTAAAAATATGATTCCATTCATAAAAAAACAAAAAGAAAGAGAAAACCTGTGCTGTTTTCAAATTTTACAGAGTTAGCCCTTATAATTCCCACTCATTATTTTTGTTGCTTAAAGCTTGCCCTCTCCTCTCCCTTATCCTCTATCATTCATTCTCTCTCTCTCTCTCTCTCTCCACAGAGAGAACAACTCAGCTGCAATCTCCCATCTGAAAGGAATTCCATGCTCCACAACTCACACAAAAGAGAGACCCACTAGCCCACTAAGCGTTAGAATTTGAGGGTCACCCTCACCTCCTAGCTACACACACAACAACATACATAGCAAAAAAAAAAAAGGAAAGAAATCTAGTGGCAGTACTACTACTTCCACTATAGCTGCTAGCTACCAGATAGGAGAAAAGAAAGAGAGATTTTTTTTTAATAAACCCCACCAATTCATTTATTCTTTTTTCCTTAAAAAAAGTGCTTATAGGGAAGCTTGGTTATATGAGATAACAAGATCATGGAATTGGAAGCTGATCATCAAAATGGGATCCGAAGCAGACCCAATTTCCCTCTGCAGCTGTTAGAGAAAAAGGACGTTGATGACGTCACGGAACAACCTTGTTCCACCGCCACAAGAGATGGTGTTGTCACAGTTGCTGTTACTACTACCACTACTACTACTAATAACAACCTCCACTTGGCGGAGGCGAAGAAAGCTCCGCCAAAGCGGAGTTCCACGAAGGACCGTCACACGAAGGTTGATGGGCGAGGCCGCCGGATCCGCATGCCGGCGGCCTGCGCAGCCAGAGTGTTCCAGCTCACGCGTGAGCTGGGACACAAGTCTGATGGTGAGACCATAGAATGGCTCCTCCAGCAGGCGGAGCCAGCGGTCATCGCCGCCACCGGCACCGGCACCATCCCCGCCAACTTCACCTCTCTCAACATCTCCCTCCGCAGCTCCGGCTCCACCATGTCGGCGCCGTCACACTATTTCCGCGGGAATTACTTCAACCCTAGCACGTTCTCTACCTCTACTGCTGCTACTGCCGCCGCCGCCGCGGCGCAGCTGAGAAACCGAGCGGAGTGGGACCGGAACATGAGCATGGTGATGGAGGATTCTCGTAGGAGCATGTTGGAGAACAGTTCTTCCATCTCCGCGATTTTGAATTTCAACCCTATGGGCAACGTGAATGTAATTCAACAAGCGAAGCAGGAGCTCCGGGAAGAATCCGGCGGCGGCGGCGGTCTTGAATCGGTGGCTTCGGATTCCGATGGAGGCTTAGGGAGAAAGAGAAGGCCGGAGCAAGAGCTGTCACAAATGGGAAGCTATTTGATACAATCGAGCACAGGGTCGCTTCCGGCGAGCCACGCTTCCAATACGGCGGCGTTTTGGATGGTGGCGGGTCACGGTAACCAAGGCATGAATGGTGGTGGCGGCGTCGGCGGCGGCAACAATGGCGGCGATAATCCCATTTGGGCAATTCCCTCTGTTGGGAATAGTGGCGTGTATAGAGGAGCTATGTCTGCTCCGGGTGGCATTCATTTCATGAATTTTGCTTCTCCGATGTCCCTTATGCCAGGTGGTCAACTAGGTTCCGGCATGGTTGGCGGCGGCGGAGGCGGTGGCGGTGGCGGTGGTGGTGGTGGTCAACTTCTAAGTGAAAGCAACTTAGGCATGCTTGCTGCCCTCAATGCCTATAGGCAAATTCCGGCGAACGGCGTCTCGGAGTCTCCGGCCAGCGCCGGGCAACCTCACGGCGGAGATGACGGACGTGACTCCACCAGTCAACATTCATGAAGGTCAAATAATCACAAGTGTATGATCTGATGCTAGCTTCTTAATTTTTCTTTTAATCACTATATTAATTACTAGTGCTACTATCACTACTACTATATATATATTAGTGCTATTAATTAATGGTTTCCAAAAATATATATTAAATACGTAATTATATATGTTATGTCCCTTTGCAAAAGATGCAAGCGCAAGTTTGATTGCTTTGGTATATTGAGTTCAGTATGCAATTTTGGACCTTTGGTGTGATGATTTAATTTTTTCTGAGGATCATGTTAGGGTTCGAGAAGAAATATAATATACACGTATATTAATTTTTTCCATATAAAGGTTTATGAATCAGATCGTTGTTTCATGATCTGGTATTATGATTATTTGTTGCTTGGTAGTGCACTATGATCAGCTGTCATGATTTTGTTTACATAGTGTGACTTTAACGTTTTGTTAATTATGGAGCAATGAATTAATTTTGTAACTTTATAGAGAGACATAATAGTAAATTAATAAATGAGTGTTAATTGTTTAGAGGAAGCTGGGTAGGTTTAGCAAAGTGAATCCATTATTGGTGTGGGGGAAATTAATAGGGTACGAATGAAATTGATCTTTTACTACTGCATTCTGGTGAGTACTGCAAACACTGTCACATGCATGATGCATCCCTTATTGCTGCAGTTGTGAATTATGTATGTACTACATAGCTAGCTAGGGACCAATATCTATATCATAGATGCTTTGGATTAAAGAGCCCACTCCTGAAATCCTGATCAGTTTCTTCAGGCTTTTGAAGTAGCTACCTCATAAACTCAGGTGGTGAGGTTCGCCATTGCCTAAAATTGACATACACTCACTGGTTTACAACCCCTTCATTCTTTCTCTTTCCAATATAAAATGGATGCATGCTACCACCTTCGCATCATAGCCTCAGATTATTAATATTTGTGTAGTACGTTGCACGAATTAGTAGTAATAATCTTCTACTCTAGCCTATCAAAACATCACATATATATCACCTCCTTTTGCACCCTTTGCCTCTATTATTCTCAACTCTTTCTTCTCAAAAATTTTAAAACTACCTACACCAAAATTAGGTTTCTGAATGTGTGTATGATTTGATTTAATTAGTGCAAATAGTTGTTTTTTTTATTCAACTTTTGAGATTTCTTTTAATTTTTAAATAATTGATTTTCCAAAATAATCAAATCTAATTACATGCACTAAATTTGTTTTCTGAACATCATTTTCAATCGGTCCCACGTTACTATTTTCTTATATATCAGAAGTAAAATGTTAGTTAGGTCTTCATCCCATATGAGTCCTCTCTAGTTAATTTGCTATAGTAATATTTTGGGCATCAAAAAATTTACAGCACTGCATCTTTACATTATGAAATATGAAAATTCTACTTTTGTTATTTCGCCCCCATCAAGTAATTAAAGTGTAAAAATTATATAAGAATTTCATGGGTAAATACAGGTTTTTTTTTCCTTTCTAGCATCTTAATTAGGCACAAGATTAATGATCATGTTGATTCATGGACTCACATACTTCTATCATTAGACATTCCCTAATTTAATTGCATTGTATGGGTTAAAACCAGGATATAGTACAAGTTAATTAGAGTGACATTGTGCCATCAACATACGCAATGTGCATATATAAATAAAAGGTTCAAATATTTTGTTGCTGCCGCTTTGATTAAATGTTGATAATTTGAAAGGAAAAAATAAACATGATTTTTAATTATTTCTTCTTTACTTGCAATTTCCTTCTTTTTTTTTCTTCTACATACATGGTTAGAGAAAAAAAAATAAAACAAAAAACAAAAGATATAATAAGTTCATTAATGAAATATTTTTTGTTGATTTATGAAAATCAAACTTGGAACTAAAGAGTTTCATACAACTTAACACTTTGCTCATATTCAATTAAACTAGACCTTCATTGGTTTTAATGAAATGAAATGCTTATCCTTAATCAATTTAGTTGTAGAAAATTAAAATTAAATAAAATTTAATACTTGAGTGATCGAGTTACATTCACTTTCTTTCGGAGATGCTTAAATTACACTGTTTTTTCCTTATTATTATTATTATTTTATTTTTATGATAATATGCATTCTCTTTTCTTGAAAAGTTGCATTAATCCATTTTCAATATAAATAGTTTTTTATTTAGATTTTTTTCTTTCCCT